AAGATGAACTTTTCATTCTAGAAAATTAAATCTGCTGTAAAGAATTTTCTAATGAAATTTTTTAAGAAAATCTGACATTGTTCCTCACACACTATATTTCTGCATACAAAAGTTTTTCGATAAATGCTGCTCTATGCATGTTATGAGGAAGTACAGCAGGAAGCAAGTTTTCTCGCTTCCGGAAAAGCGAATGAATTTCTGTCGTGCTCTTCGAAGTTAATAGCAGCATTTTGTTTCATACTGACTACTGCTCAGATTTATTAAACCGTTAAAATGTTCTCAAAATGTCGTTATTCTTAAGTTATAATAAACTACTAATCAGGAGACAAAAAGGAATTTTCATCTTTGTTTGCCGGGAGCAGCCCTCTCCGAGAAATGCTGGCTACACTACTGGATAATCCCCGCAGAGAAAACTGACTTCATTATTCTGTACAAAGAAAAGGCGCTTCTGTGACGAATCGATTGCAAAATAGTATCTGAGATACTCATGGGCTTCCTCGTGAAGCAGTTGCATCGACCATAGCGGTGAGAATTGCGTGTGGTGCGTTTCGATCGCTATCTGAAAAATACGTTATTGATTCTAGAGAGCTGCGTTGACCAAGCGCGTGGTTATGCGGCTTTTGTGCAGGTCCAGTAAATGAATATGCCAATACCCACAGGGGATCATCATGATAACCCTTTTACTGTGCATGGAGCATAAAAATTTTGCTGTTCATCGCTTGATTTGCTGAACTTATAAAATCAATTAGAGTTTGAGGTACTCATAGTTCAGAAAATACCACAATTTTTTAACTAATTTCGGGTCATTTATCCTATCAAAAAATCCTGGAATCTTGTGACGCTCTCTTACGAAATTATAAAATTTGCCTAAATTTGGACCCAGACTATAAATTAAAATACATGAAAATTCAAAGGTTGTTTTCATACCAATTCCTCCAAATTATTGCTGAATTATATTTCTGAAATGATCATTTCAAAAATTACTTAAATTGCCAGTTGGAAAGCTGGAATTTCTATTCGCAGTTATTAAATGACTTATAAAGCCTTCGGGTAATAGATTTTCAATTTGTTTTTTGTGCACCACAAAAAGTTATTTTTCCAAAACTTTCCTAGCTTATATAGTTTCTTCATTTCTCTTCATTTCTTTTTCTGTAGTGAATGAATAAATGCACGCCCATAATTTTAATATGTCTACACAAGACAATGGGAAAGCATCGCTCGCTTTAGTGATGGTGGATACTGAGCATCAGGTAGTGCCAGCGAGGAAGAAAGTGACCATTTGGATAGCTTCACAGAAAGGGCTTGTAAATAATAGCAAAGGTAGAAGCTAGGTAAAGATGGCGTAGGTTGCAAAGGGTTGAAAAAACTGCACTTAACATGTAGAAGACGAATTTCGGTAAAGTCAGCAATCTGGGTGTTCATGAAAACAAGCACTTATTTTCATGAACACCCAGATTGCTAACGTTACAGAAATCCGTCTTTTACATGTTAAAAAGTTTGTTAAAGTCGCGGAGTTTCTCCAAACTGGCTTTCAGTGTCAACGCAATGAAATGACGTCATAGTAGGAAAAATTCTCAAAGAACTTCAGCAAGATTACCCTATTCAAAGTGGCATCGGAATAAATAATGAATATTGCGCCATCGTCATCGAAACGCTTCACAGATACGATATCCTCTGCAGAACTGGGAAGGCTGCAAATGTGGAACTCAGAACACTTGGAACAAATGACATTCTAACTGCCACTTAAACTTGGCAAAGTTGCCAAAACGTTTGGCAAAGAATGTTTCGGAAGATGACAGTCTTGATACTAGCGTAGTATTTATTTAGGTGAAAATTCATTTCTCATCTTTGTCTCCTTTTCAAAAGTCAAGACATCCCTCCCTACTCGTTTTTTGTTAGAAGCGGAAACATCCGGAAAACAGCCTGAGTAGTACTGGATGCCAGCAGCAACCACACGTTGGTAATAATAATAATGGTTCCCTCTCTTGAACGTTGTTTGCAAACATGCCGCCGACGAGACTGATTGCTTGGCATATGCCAAAATCCATCTTTAACTTTGCTGTTGTTCAGGCAGATAACAAAATCTTCTTGCGCTGATAAAAAATAGCCCGGAAATGTAAAAAAAAAAAAAAAGAAAATCGAGATATGGAAAAAACATAGATCACCGTCAGATGTTTGCAATCCTTTCCCAGTAAATTCTTGGCTCGCAATCAATACCTGGGGCTTAAAAAAAAGTCCCTGTTTTATACCGAAGTGAGGCATACAGTACGGCGACTCCCTTTCCAAGTCGCTCCTGCTACACTGTCCTGTTTTCTGAATTTCACTAGTGATTTTAAACTTGTTTGCTAAATCATTGTCTAAAGTCCAGCTTCCGCAGGTTGCTCCTTGCACTTGAATCAATGTCTTACTTTGCAATAACAACTCCTTCAACTGCCCGAAACTGCTCCAGCCAGCCATAACGATATGTAGAGTACGGGAAAGATTTCAGATTACAGTTGTCCAGTGGCTCATTCGTGTAGCTCTGAATTCATAGAATACTCACAAATCTTCACCATAATATGTAAAATTCACTTATTTTCAAGCCAACAAACATTAGAGTGTTCTATGCAGATAGGGCAGACATCAATCAAACGTAATCTCAACCAA